AACATGTCTTGGGTTTCATGTCAATCTGAAGTGAAACAAGTTGGTAGTAGGACGTAGGAGTTGCCTAATGGATTTCTCCATTACTACAGCTGCAACAGGAACAGCGCACTTTGGATATGGAAGCTGCCAATCTGCAACGACTGCCTACGTCCATGTTCGAACCCCAAGTTCTGGTTCAGCCCGTGGAAGATGCCGCAACAAGGTCCAGCTGCCAAAATGCGTCAGAGCTTGTCAACTGCGGACTGGTATGAACCTCTAGTTCATAGCCTGACCTGTGAGCACTGGCTAATTATTCGAAACCAGCCTCCAAAAGGGTCCAACATGGTCATGTGGTCATGTGTTGGAGTAGAATAAGCATTTGTTTTTTGTTCTTGCCCGATGTATTTAGGGCCCTCAAACAGCCAGGTTTTGAGACCGCCAAGCACCTCCGGGGTGTGTAATGGAGAGGTCGGGTCTCTCGTTCAGCATGTCACATGACTCGGCCCGCCCCTCTCAAGGAACAGGGAAGTTGCGCCTGGAGAAAGTCCCAGACTTTCATCCAGCACCTGGTCTCACTCCCTGAGCTCATGGACTTTAAGCTTGTTGGGTCGGCCATTTCGGTGGTAAGTAACAAGTTGGGACGGTTTTTGGCCAAACTCAGCTTTTTGGGTAGACCATTTCGGAGGTTCAGACGGGTTTGGGCCAAACTCAACTTTTTGGGTAGACATTTTAGTGGCACATAACAAGTTTAGACGGTTTTTTGGGCGAAACTCAACTTTTTGGGTAGACCATTTTAGTGGTAATAACAAGTTTAGACGGTTTGTTGGCCAAACTCAACTTTCTGGGTAGACCATTTTAGTTGTAAATGACAAGTTTAGACGGTTTTTGTGCCAAACTCGACTTTTGGGTAGACTATTTTAGTGGTAAAGACGGTTTTTGTGCCAAACTCAACTTTTTGGGTAGACCATTTTAGTGGTAAAAGCAAGTTTAGACGGTGTTTGGGCCAAGCTCAACTTTTTGGGTAGACCATTTTAATGGTAATAACAAGTTTAGACGGTTTTTAACTCAACTTTTTGGGTAGACTATTTTAGTGGTAATAACAAGTTTAGACGGTTTTTGGGCCAAACTCAACTTTTTGGGTAGACCATTTTAGTGGTAAAAGCAAGTTTAGACGGTGTTTGGGCCAAGCTCAACTTTTTGGGTAGACCATTTTAGTGGTAAATGACAAGTTTAGACGGTTTGTGAGCCAAGCTCCGGCAGTGACTTCTGGGGCTACAACTTCAGCCTGGCATATCGGGAGCCCAGGCACAGAGCCGGGCTTGCTGGACAAGCACGCGCTGTCTCAACTGGAGGACGTGGACCATCGGCGGGTGCATTTTTGTTTGGGGGGGGGGTATTCGCACTTTCCCAGTTTCTGGACTTTCCGTTTTTTAAGGTGAGATTTTAGTAACGTGTGTGGTTTCCGAAGAACAAAAAACCTGTGGGATCCCGAAGCTGGACATGATGTTGGGCTTGGACCATGGTACAGAAGTCGTTTGGTTAGCTGTTGGGAGGCTCATTGAGTCGAAGTGCTTTTGGAACACGTGTCGTCCCCTTAAACGTGTAGATTCCGTAGAGAAGGATGCCATGGACGGGAGGTCGCGCACCAAAAAAAAATGCTGTTTCCCCAAGAAGGACCCTTCACACTTACGTTGGAGCTGTGGTCACAAGGAAGCCCATATGTATATATATATATATGGAAGCGTTCCCAAAAGAACGGCGCATATGTTTGTTGGGTACAATGTAGGGCTGAACCCAGGTTCCACCAGCAAGATGCCGAGGAGAGAGTTTTGCACCTGAGCCTTAAGACCTTTCATTTGCGCTTCCCAGTGCTCAGATTCTCGAGTGCTTCGAGAGCGCAAAGACGCCGCTCACTCCCCGAGGTTCCTGGGCTTTCTACGTTTTTGGGCCTCGGCAAGTTGTGTGGCAAGCAACAAGCTTGGACTCTTTTTGGGCTGCCCTTTGCGGCACTGGATGTTTCCTGAGCCTTCCCATCAAAACCTCCCAAGCGCCGAACTCGCCTCGAGGAGCAGATCGGAAAGTACACCACGCTGATGTACAGGTCAGCCGCTCAGCTCGGGCGCCGGTGAATCGCCGCACTGGCCAAATCGAATCGTTGGCTTGCTAAGCGCTGGTTCTTCTTCCTGAAAATCCGATTTATGGCACCTGTGGGATTACCACCTGAAAGGGGTCACCAAAAATTTATAGACTGCTATGTCCCCGAAATTTTGGGGAGACGGTCTTAGGGAAGTTTCATTTGGGCCTCATTTGTCCAGACCTGAAAGGAAGCTGGGATGGTTCAGAGGGCGCATGTTCTTCCCCGAGAACCAGCAGCGCTCGGGGTTGAAACGGCATATCTTTGGGCCAGCGGGCTCCAAGACATGGAGTTGCTTCCCATACGAATGGCCAGAAGCAATTGTCCTGCATGATCTGCTTAAATTTCCGCTTGATTTTAGGGTTGTTCAGATATATACCATGTTTTTTTTTGGATGAACATGAAATAAATCTGCAAGTGCATTTGGTATCACTTGGTGGTAAGGCAGGGACACCCGTTCGACTTAGACTCTCAAAGGGCGCAATCCACTGAGTGCCATGACATGTTGATTTGTTGGGGCCAACCCATGACCAGCACTTTCCAACGCTTCGGCGGTTTAAGTTTCAATCAAGTCCAAAAGCCCGGGGCGCCGGGGACAAACTCGGCCTTTTGATCGAAGGGCCCCCGGAAAGAGAACTCGAAATTCGAAGAGCTGATGGGCGGCACTGGCGCTTGCGACATGCCATTTGGCGGCTTGCAACCTGCCAGGAATGGCGCACCTTCCATGTGCTTAATATGTTGCTGTTGTTTCCTCTAGTTGTAGAGGTGAGCATATGGAAGTATGTTAGGGAATCAGATGGTGTTATTTCAGCTGGCTCACCTTCTTCTTTTTTCTTTCCCATGGTTGTAAAGATAATCTATCAGAGGAATATGTGTTTGTTCTTTTCCAGGGGACGTAAGCACATGGAGGACAAGCTGCGGGGGTCGAGAGGCACACTCCGATTTCGTGGCCTGGCCGTCAGCTTTTACAAAACCAGCGAATCGTTGAACATAGTCCAAGCAAATGCTTCCCAAAGCCCAAATGAGTCTTCTTTTTTTTTACATACCCAAAAGGACCCATATATTTTTCGGACATGCCAATCTTCTCCATTCCCAGGCCCGCCCACACCAAACATCCCCTTGTTTTGGGCGTAGGATGTCATCCCCGTGAGAAGGATCTAGCTATACTGTGCAAACCCAGGTTTTTGGACACAGCAGCAAAAAAAGCGACGGAAGAATCCATGGACAGTACTAAGGGTTTGATTCCCATGGAAATCTATTTCGAGTGGGTTTTTCTTTGGCCTTTGGCTGTAGGATTTTTGGAGTCAATCACCAAGGCCGCCCGAGATGGTGGACTTCTACCTGGAGCCGGGAGCCATATATGGTGCCGGGTTGCGAAGGCTTTCGAAGGAAGACGAACGGCAAGCAGAGAGAAAGCCGGAATCCAAGATGTAAATAGCTATCGAAGCGAACAGGAAATCCAAAACACAGGCAGGACCAAATTCGAACCAGGCATGATCCCCCGGCACAACACCACCATGTCCTTGTGTTTTCACGTGATGCATTCCAACCACTTGTTTGTTTTGACAGATCTTCCGTCAGATCAATGCTACAGCGCCCGGCAACTGATTTTGGCCATGTCCAACATCTCAAGTGCTGCCCAAAAACAGCCGTTTGGTGTTTTGTTTGTTTTTTGTTCCGGGTGGAGGGGAGGGTGCAGAGCAATCGGCCAAGCCTAGGTTCGCCATTTCCGAGAAGGTGGACATTTGGATGCTGGGGTGCATTCTGTACACGCTCATGTTCTACAGGCCGGGGGCTCGGGAAAAGGGGGGGGGAAAAGCACGAGACTGTGGTAGTCAGTCAAAACATGTCAAAACTAAACCACTAGGATATGGACCGCAGGTGTCAGCCCTTGGTTCCATTTACCAGGGCTCCATTTTGGGTACCTATTTGTCACTCACCGAAGGAGCCCAGGTGTCCATGAAAGTTGCTCCGAACTCCAGAGCCTCGCGACTGGAGCACCCGGTGGAACCAGAGACCACCTACGGCCATTCACTTCTAGCGGAGAGTTAGCAACCGACTGGGGGAGAAACAAGTGATCCAGACCTTTGGGGACCTCCTGCGACCCTTGCAACCCTTTCTTGTCAGTTCTTCAGTGGCACCGATGAGTTTTCAACCCTTTTTTTGGTGGCTGCCCCAGTAAAAATGGAAACTTCCCGAAAAAGAGTCCCTTTTTTTCCAGGGTCACTGAACAACTGAGATTCCCCTCTCAGTTGCGACCCTTGCAACCCATCTGCGCGCGTGAGTAGCGCGCAAGTGTGAGGCAACTCGCGCCCGTTCTGTCCCTCAGCTTCAAGATGTTTCAAGCTTGCCCCCAAAAGCAGTATACTGCCTCCCAATACTCGTTTTGTTCGGGGTAACTTATACTTCAGAATCCATGGCTTATGTATTGCCTTGAAGGGCCGTGTCCACTTTTGTTGAAGCAAGGTTTGTGCCCTTCAGGGTTTTACTTCACTGAATCCAGGCGAATAAAGCTTCCTTTGTGCAAGGAAAGCCAGAAGAGGACATTCGTCAGGTCTCTCGCAGCTAGACTTAACAGGTTGACGCCCCCCGCCGAACCTCCTGCGTGTAAGCCTACCTACACGACAGATGAGCAACGGGCCATCTCGCTCGGGTAACGTTGGCGCCCATCAGTTTGCTGCTTGGTTGGAATCGAGTTGGGTAAGCCATGTAGGCCCTTATGGTCTCTGGTTATATTGTCACTCAAATGGAACCCTGCCGAGAAAACAAAAATGAGCAGCGCCCGAAGAGCCCACTAGCCGTTTTAGTAGGTGGCTCGACTTGCAAGGCCGCCAGGCCCATATGAACCACGTAGTTTGGCTGGAACCCAAGGTCAATAGGCGGTCAAATGGAAGCATCAGCCCTGGCGAGGCACCCCTTCCAGGACGAGTCCTCCTTAGCCATCGCCAATGCCCGCTACCAGTGGCCGTGCGGTTGCCCAGCACGGACCTCCATGGTTTTCCTCTTTCACTTTAGGGACTGACGCGTTAAACTCAACTAGCCAGACGCTCGTGGACCCTTCCAGGCGGGTCGACCCAAGGGACACCATGAAGTGGGGCTGGGGCTTGATTTTCCTAGCGGCATGGATCCCTGAGTACTTTCAGAATGCGTCTACTCTCGCACGAGGGTCTCCGGATATTGAGGTTTGTTGCTGCATGGGGATCAAATTGAACCCACAAACAACTGGATGACTCAACTCGAGCCAGAATTGGATCGTCGCAAATGACCTCCAAATTTAGGATGAGTAGTGTGTAGTCTTCTTTTGGCTTCCATTTGCTATCAACCAACATGGGGGTTCGTGGCCAGGCCTGCCTTTGTGGTCCTCTTTTCTCGCACCCTTCACCTGGACCTCCCTCGCTTGGGAACCACATTCAAGTCTGCGGACGGTTAAAAGAATAGAGCGGGGGTTGTGGAGTACTTCAAGGCCACATCAACGGAGTCGTGCCAGGAGGAAGATGTCAGTAGTCATTCAAGGGCTACGTTGGCTGTTTGGCAAGGAACAGCTTCCACCTTGGGTCGTGGTAAAGGCTGGGCCTGCGGCGTGGTCTCGACCCACACCCGCACTATGCACGCCAGGGCATAGCGGGCATAGTGATTCTGATGCTGAGAATCGCTTGGAAAGAGAGCACAGTCCCAGATTCTAGTTTGGCAGCAGCAGCACCGCTTTGATTTGCTTGGATGCGCTTGACGTTTTTCAGCTGGTCTTGCACCTGGCTGCTGTCTCCGCCACTGTCTGCACGACCTCAGGTCACAAAGCCCCAGATTCAAGAATGGCAGCCAAAACGCGTTCCTCAGCTGCTCTTGCGCCTGTGTGCCGTCTCCGCCCTTGGAAGTCGGCGGCTGCCTAGAGTTCGCTTGCAAGCACAGGCCGCCGCCCGACCCCTACCCTTTCGGAGGAAAGGAAGCTAGGAAGCGAGGAAGGAACCGAAATCCTTCAGCAAAGGAATCTCGAACTCGGAGCCACCGGTTTCTCTAGCCCAACCCTTTTTTTGGGTGGTGTGAACTAGCCCCAGCCATTTGGGTTGGTGTTTTGGATGGGACTGTCCAAGAGCTAGGTGCATCCAAGAATCCGAAAAACTTCCCTGCGCCCAGTGCAGGTCCAGTCCCGAGCACTCCGAGAAGCTGCGGGACCTGACGCTCTGGCTCTTGGCGCGGGACCTTTCGATGTTCGGTTTTCGCTTCGATCGGACCCGTCACGTCGCTCGGATCGATCGAGCTCGGAGAGGGTGGCTGGCGAGTCCGCATGGCCATGGGTCAAAAGCCCGGTTTTCCTCAGTGAACATCCCAATCCAACCACTAAAATAGGTTCGAACATGGGTGGTGAATTCACCTACCCCAAAATGGTACCATTGGTTTTGACCCACAGCCACATCCCTCCACGGGAAACAGTTGTAGCTTTGATTTGAGTGGGAAAGCCGCTAGAGGGCCCAACCTTTTCAAGGGAACATCAATGCGCGCTTAAAGAGCGACAAGTTTGGCCAGTTTAGGGGTCAAGCCTCACTGGTCGCTATCGGGGAGACTTGCTATGTGGGTGTGTTTCAAGATTGGGGATGATTTTGTTTGAACAAACCCAAAAAAAGTGCTGAACCCAAATAAAGATACACCCATACCCGAGTTGGCAACCCATTACACCAGCTGGTTGGCCCAGTTTAGTTGAAGCTTCTTAAAAAAATAAAAACAATCGCTCTTAAAAAAATAAAAACAATCGCTCTTAGAAGGGCTCGTGTGTGTGTGTGTGTGTGTTTTCCTTTTAGAAGCCCAAAATTGAAGCCGCCATGTGGGTCTTTGACAGATCCCCCCTCTCCGTGGTTCGACTCTCAGGGCCCATGGCTCGCGATGACGCCCGGTTTCACCCCCATGGAGATGCCGGAGCGGGCAGCATCTTTGCTGTGCAGCCTGCTGGTGCTCGTGTTGCTTGGCTGCTTTTTGGATCTTTTTGTTTTTTGCGGCTTTTGGTTTCAAGGGATCAGTTTTTCTGGGTGTGTCTTGGGAAATGGTTTGTCCCACAAAAAGCAAAAACCTAAACATTTGCACAGGGGCATTGAACCATCCAGGTTGTGTCTTCTCAAGGGGCTTCACAAGCTTTGGCAGCATCGCCAGCAGATTGCAGCCGCGCTGCGGAAGTTGCCGCAGAATTGCAGCAGGCTGAAGCGCAGGTGTGGTCCAGAGATGTTGCGGAGCGAGGTGTCCAAACTGCAACTAGATTTTGCCCGACCATACCTGGGCATTATGGCAGCATTCATGTGCATATCTGTGCTGTCGGCCCAAGCTCGGATGAGGTGGGGCCCAGAGCAGAACCTGCAATTGAGGTTTGTTGCATCCAATGTATCCATATGGAATCGGATTGTCTTGGCCTTGCTTATTGCTGTTGCACTTTGGGTGCCTTGCGCATTGACCGTGAGAACGCTGGACCTTTGGAACTTCATCTTCAACCTCCACGTTCTGGTGTTTCTGTCTCCAAGCTCGATGCCTATTTTTGCGGTGTTCGAGGCTAGGTTATTCAGCCTTCTCATAATTCAGTTGCCTTGCATGATCTATGTACAGAACATGCTTGTGGCATTGTTCGGCTACCTATGCGTCGCGCTGTGTGTCATTTTGCGCTCTTTGACTGCCGACCCTGAAACATCCGCCAACACCTTGCTTGGACATACGCATGCCGTCGTCGCAGCGGAAGTCGTCCTTTTTCCAGCCATCTTCGCGCTGGTGAGCGTTGTGCACAAGATGTTTCAGAAGAAAGTGGAGGCGCGCATTCGGGAGAGCGATGCCACTTCTCAGCTTGATGCGGCCTCTGCCTTGCTTCGTTTGACCTGTGATGCGGTCATCGAGCTGGACAGCGAGCTACGACTCATGGATCACTGTCCGAGGCTGGCGGGCCTTCTGCTCCGTGGTGCCTCCTTGCAAGGCGTGCGCTTCACGGACCTGATTTCAAGAGCAGAAGCAGCGCGGGCGGAAGATCTGCTGGGCAATGCGCATATTGATGCTTTGGTGTATTTTGCCAAGGGATGTTAAGACTGCTTAACTGTTTGTCAACTAATGGGTTTTCCGAATTAAACCACTAAAAGTTATTCACTTTTAGCAGAGCAGAAAGCGACCGAGGATAGCACCTGCTCTTTTGCCAATGCCTTCCACACGCATTTGGTGGATAGCTGTGCCAGCAAGTTTCGCACTGAGGTGTTCCAGGTGAAGTATCAGATGTCCAACAATGAGGTAAGGCACTTGATCGGTCTGCGGGATTTTACGGATGTGAAGTCATTGTCCGGATGCAAAGCGACTGATTCCATGAGTGATGCTGTCCAGGATAAGTTTGGTCCATACACAGAGTTCGACACTCAGAATGGAGGCCCTAGTTCCATAGCTTACCTTGAGAGCCCTCGCGACAGTAGTCGCAGCAGTCACCAGAGCCAGAGCAGCTACGCAATGATCGAATCTGAAGCTGAGTGGACAGCAGACAAGCGTGACATTCCAGAGCATGGAGTCGTGGAGCAGGTGATCGAATTGAAGAGGAAGAATATCATTCTCGAGTTGGACATGCGAGCCATGCTGGTTTCTGCAGCGTGTGCTCCAGTGACCGCGCTTGTTGGTCGACCCCTGCAGGACGTGTTCATGAACGATTACACAGTGGACTTGTGTCATAGGCTACTAGCTCATGCTCGGCAACTTCCCTTTATTCCGGACACGGCTGTGAGCTTTGAGCACATGCCCATTTTTTGCGCTCCTCGGGTGATTGAAGCCACAGGAACCATGCATGTGCTTCAGACAGGCTCAGCTGGCTTGAGAGTGATTCTTATTTTTTGGTCTGTTGTTGATCGGATCCGGCTATAGTGCCAGGGAATTCGAATATCCAGCACAAGTCTGGTAGCCGCTGGTAGTGGGTCTGCACAGTGGCCATTTGTGCAAAAGGTACAGGTGTGTCAAATTTGAAACATGTTGTGAACATGCCCAACAGCGGCTACGTGGGAGCGATGCACTGTCCAAGCGGCAAATCGGGTGTCAAGAAGACAACGGAGAACATATGGCTGTGGTTGTCAAAACCGTTTTGGGATCCCATTTTGGGGTAGGTGCACCACCCAATTTTGAACCTATTTTAGTGGTTGGATTGGGATGTTCACTGGGGGTACGGGGTTTTGGGGTTTTGACCCACAGCCATATTGCGCTGGGCCGGGGGGGGGGGGGGGGCGGGTTCGGCAAGCAGATGTGTGTGGCCCGCTCTGACCGACCGATAATGGGGGAATGGCATTCAGGGAAAGCATGTGCCCCACCCGCCACCAGAAGGGTTCAAGAGAAGGCCTTGTGTCTGGTCTTCAATGTACTGAACGACTCAACTTGCTAGTTCTCAGTAAGAGAAAAGGGATGGCTTCCAACATGATTTTCCTTTCAGTAGGCGCATTCCCAACACCCCGAGAACCAGTCCCCATTGAGAACCCGCAAATGCTTGGCTCTGTTCCGAGGGCCTTCAAGGCACGCATCTTGGCTTTCGCTGCCGGGTTGACAAGCCCACGAACAAAGTGGGCTGGAAGAATCCCCCGGGTCCCAATGGTCAACACTCCTCTGCATACTCCAGACCCTCCAATGGAGAGCCCATAGCGGCCCCCTCATGAGTTGAGCAAACAACAAAACAATTGCTTCTGTTTAAGGATCCCATGGCAAACCAATCATCTGAATGGCTGCTTGTCCCAGATGCTGCTTGATTCGACATCTCTGAGCTCTAAATATTTGGCTGATTTCCAAATAATTGGCCCGCATCCTATGAGGGACCCTACCCTCCCTCGCAAGAGGATTCCTCTAAACATGTGGCCGATTTCCTCGTTGGCCCGGAAATCCTTCGAGGGAACCTCCTACCCTCGTATTCTCGCAGGACCCGGCGAACCGCCCCGATGCCATGATCCTTCTCAGCATCTTGGAGAACTTTGCGGAGAGCAGCTTGCCCTTGCCGCAGCCCCAGAACCATCCAAGACCGAAAAAAGCGCATGAGCGGCGCCCATGGATGGAAGATTTGAGTAGGTTCTTGCAGCCGGGTTTATAGGGGGTTATAGTACGGCATATTATATATGGCTGTGGCCAAAAAACCGGTACCAAAATGGACCCCTGGCAAGTGGAAACATGGACCAAAACCTGCGTAACCCCTCCTGTTTAAGCCAGAGCCATATCGCATTCCGTTGGAATGTCATTGGAGATCATATGGCTGTGGGTCAATACCAATGGTACCATTTTGGTTGGTAGGTGAATTCACCACCCGTTTTAGAACCTATTTTAATGCTTGGATTGGGATGTTCACGGGGGGTATGGGATTTTGACCCATGGCCAAATTGCGCGATTTTACCTTCTAAGGTTCACGAAAAGCTGAGGGAGACCTTAGGATGGCTGTTGGAACCCGAAGACCCTCTTTTGTGGGTTCCATGTAAAGCCCCTCTTTGAAATATAGGTTGTACGGCCCCAAAACACTGGCTTTCCTTGAAGTCTACGACCAAATCGCTGGCATGGGACAGTCTCCAAAGTTGCCAGGTCGCTGCTTTGGCAGTTAGATGATCAAACCAGAGATCATTGGCAAAGCGGGTTTGGCTCTGGGGTTACCTTTAGAACCTGCAAATGAATGATGGTACACGTCACCATGTTGGCCCCAAGATACTGATCGCATTTGCTTAAGCCAACAGTTCTCCCCATAGTTCCCATAAATTATTGGTCTCTTCAAACATCATCTTTTTGAGAAGTCCTGTGGTCGGGTAATCTCTAAAGGGGATGTCTATACCTTGTGCCGATGGAGGGTGTTTGAACTGGAGCAAGTCTGAACCACGAACACATTTGTGGTTTGGGGCAACGCGCGTTTCACCCGAGCGGACTTGTTGTTCTGCTAACATGGCTGGAAAGGCGTACAGTTGCAACAATATACAATTCTACCAGGCAGCAAAGCTCATCGAAATGCAACTTGCAGTTTTGGGGATGCTCGAAGCTCATTTTGACTACCAAACCGATTCCGGCTCCCGAGTTGAACTGTCGGCCTGGTCGGCGCTACGTTTTCCCCATTGGCCATATGCAGTTTTTTGGCACCTGGACGTGTCCTCAGGCACCCCTCAAATCATAGTTGTTCAGTGGCATCCGTTTTCTCCCGTTTTGTTTGACGTGTTCCTCACCAAAAACTGGCAGAGAGTTGACCCCGAAAAGATCTCCCAGTTTTTTGATCAGGGCCACTGCACTCTAGCTGCGGGGTGTCGTCAAGGATTTCAGAGAACGGCATGGACCGCGTGCGAAAACCTTTCAGAGAGCTACTGCACGCTTTTGCTCCGAAAAGTCAAAGGGCCCAACTCGGGGAACTCCAACTCATCCAGATCTCAATTGTTCAGTGGCACCGATTCTTTTTCCCCTTGTTTTTGTTGGCTGCCACACTAAACATGGTCTTCCCCTAAAAGGGGTTCCCATTTTTTCTCCAGGGTCACTGAACAACTGAGAGAAGGCCAGATCGTGCCTGTAGGCTGGAGTTGGTCGAAACAACCAAGTTCCAATGCCAAGTGGGTAGAAATGGCCAAAGCTTGCCAATACGCCTGCCCTGAAGCATACGGGTTTGCATAGTTGCGTTGAGTCTCGGTCCCCCCAATTGGGTTGTTTTGAAGTGAAACCAAAGTGAAACTGTCAAATTATGTGTTGAGTTCTATATTCCATCTTGAGACTGCTCATACTCTCGCCGTTGACACCTGCCAATGACTCCAGTGACCATTCTGGCTGAGCCCTTCTGTGTATAAGAGCCTTATGCGGGTATCCAAGAAGCTGAGCAGAACCACACTAGAGGCTTGTGAGTGAGTACATGCCAGACGTTGTTGTTTATTATTGTGTTGAAAACTAGCACACCTGGAATTTCCTTTGATCATGCAGTCTTCTCTTTGCACATTTCCTGCAGGCCTGGGTGTACATACCATGCTTATACCGCTTGGGCAAATGGCTCCAAAGGGCTCCCTGGTCTTCATACCTGAAAGGAATGTGTTATATAAAGCAGGCTGGTACTCTCCAAACAGAAAGTCAATGCATTTCATGTACTTGTTGAGTGGCGGGCCTAATGTGGAGAAGCTGGTGCAATCTTGCGTCCAGGTGGGGTTTCACATGTGGTGAGTTGGTGTCGCCACGCAATTTCCGTGCAGGGTAGCTGAGTGCAACGTTGCGTCACCTTGGTGTCCCGGAGCTCACTCTTGCAGCAGGCAAATGTGTTTCACATTGGAAAAGACGGTTGTCCAAGCGCCAGCTACAATTTTGCTTCTTAACAACTTGAGGCGAGCAAAGGGTTGAGGGGGCGGTTTGTGAATCACTTCCCGTTCGACAACCTTTGAACTTTTAGCCTTTCTTTTGCGCAGTGTAGCTGGGGAACCAATGAACGGGTACTATACGAGCCCAAATAGTTGCAAGAATGTGGGAAATTGTTTGAGCCCTATAAACCACTTAAGTACCCTGCACCTCGAATTCTAACAAACCACGCGTTTGAACATGAAGCCGCACCTACAGGATGTCCACCAAAGGGTCCCTTAATCAAATTCAGGGTCATAAGGGTCATAAGGGTCATATTTTGCACACGAGGTATGTATTTCTCGAGGCCAAAAGTGGTCCTTGAGCAACGAGAGCACGTCCGACGGCTCTACGATCCACAGGCACCATTGGGCGTGGCTAATGAGGACGCCCCTCAAATAATGGGCTGAGACAACCTCAAAAGGATTGAAACGACAAACAAACACAAGCACACATAAGCAAACATGCAAGCAAGCAATCAAACAATCACTCAATCAATCAAGCAAGCAATCAATCAATCAATCAATCAATCAATCAATCGATCGATCGATCGATCGATCGATCGATCGATCGATCAATCACACAAACCAAATCACCGAACACAAAAACACCGAAACACACAAACACGCAAACACGCACAAACATACAAACACACACACACACACACACACACCCACCCACCCACCCACCCACCCACGCACCCACACACACACACACACACACACACACATACACACACACACACACACACACACACACACACACACACACACACACACACACACACACACACACACACACACACACACACACACACACACACACACACACACACACACACACACACACACACACACACACACACACACACACACACACACACACACACACACACACACACACACACACACACACACACACACACACACACACACACACACTTTCTGGTTTGACCATTGCGACGTTTGCATCAGACCCTGCTCACATGCAGTTTTTGAATCGCTTGTTGATTTTACAAGTCGGACTCAACTCAAAGGAGTTCCACCACGGTTGGTTGGGCGCTTTGAGATAGATGAATCACAACGGTGTGGTGTCCTTATTTCATGACACGCGTTCCGCTTTGATTGACAAAGGAGGGCCTGTTGAGCATGGCTCCTTAAAAGATCTCCATTTTGCAACCATTTGAAACATGTGGCTTTTTCAACACCAAAATATAGTTGGAAGCCACCATTTACAAGGCAATGTTCAGGTGTATAATGTATCCGGATCCCTGTTGAGTAGCACTTCGATTGATCAATTCGAGGGCCGGTTTTGATTTGCACGCCCACTCCGCGAGGCCGAGCTATCTCTCAAAGTACTTGACTAGGTCCCCCAGTGCCCTTTTCGCCTTTTTTTTGGAGGGGAGGGTTCCCCCACTAAAAATAGACTAACAAAAAGTGGGTACCGGATTCTGACCTCCAAACCTGGAGGACCTAGTTGACCAAACTGCTGTACGGAGCTTCCAAAATGCCAACCACATGGATGCACCGTCGAGACCTCGCAGGCGAGAGGTAGCT